CTGTCATCCTCAATGCTGACTCCCATATTGTTTAGGGGGTACAGAAATTAAGTATAACGACAGCCAACGGCATTTTTCGTATGGTAACTTGCACACATCATCATCAGAAAAAAAAGAGAAAGTAAATATAAAACAAGAAAAATAAAAAATAAAGGTGATGGAAAAACAAATGGGTATCAGAAGGATACCTGGAGTCATACTGGATGATAAAAATGGTATTTTGCTTAGTTTTTACTAATTTTATAAATCATTGTGAACCGTGATCTAGCCACTATATTTGAAAGACAAGTTGTATGAACTATAAGGTCCAAACAGAGAGTTAGTTTAAAGACGAATACCTACAAATATAGTAATAGTATTAAACACTTCATACTTGCAACTTGAGTATACAGTTTTACATGATATGTATATATATATATATAAATCAAACATGAATATTGTGTACAATTGTTTGTGCATACACTACTATTTTGTAAAGAATTAAATCAGTATCAGCTAGAATGAGTTATAAAATTGGGATCATGTCAGCAAGGGGAGAAGTATCAATGTATGTGTAATATTCATTGTGTACATTAGGTGGCATTCAGTAGAGAGTTTCAATTTACTTTTTCCAGTCAGAAATAATTTAATTCATTAGAGAGGTTAAATATTTATGAATGAACGATATCATCTTTCAGTCTGATCAACAAGATCTGAATATAACCTCTTATAATCTTCTCAGTCATTTGTTAGTTTAACTATATTTTCCTTTCACAGTCCCTTATTTGAGACCCTCAGAATGGAGCCTTTTACCTGTTAGGTCACACTTTGTATCATATTACTAATAGTTGTGAAAGTGAAACCCAATAAAAAGTATCTGAAAATAAAAAAAATAGATACTTATGAAAATTTAAAATAAACCTGTGTCTTTTTCTCTAAAAACACAAAATCACAAAATAAAAGTAGGCGTAAATATTATGATACTGTAAAGCACTCCATACCTTTTTGGAAAGGTTAAGCTTGTCTTTATTTAGTTTTATATCCCACCATATGGATAAATCTTGTTAATGACTTCAGAAGGTTGTGATTTGCTGTTTGCTACCTCTGCTTCCTCCTTAAAAAAATGATGTAAAGTTGTCAAGAAACTGGTTGGTGTAAAGGTGTTCAGAAACTGGTGTAAGGTTGTTTAGAAACTGGTGTAAAGGTGTTCAGATCTGGTGTAAAGTTGTTTAGAAACTGGCTGATGTAATGTTGTCTAGAAACTGGCTGGTATAAAGTTGTTCAGAAGCTGATGTCAGGTGTCAAGATTATTTCAAGTTGTTTATAAACTGGTGTAAAACTTCTAGATACAAATTTGCAAACGCATAATAGGCCTAAAAATAAAGGGTTCACCTGATTTTCTAGGTTACCATGATTACATCCACTTATTTTGAACTTTGGTGGATAGTCATATTGGCAATCATACCACATCTTCTTATTTTTATGTTGTAACATTTTGTAAGAATGGGATACCAAATTTTTTTCTTATTGTGTCTTTTAGACTAAATCATATACGTGACATTGACCTTTCATCTCTGAGATAAGAAAGGCTTTAAAACCTCATAAATGGGAACCAATGAAACTAAATTGGTGAAAAAAAGAATGTCATGTAAGTTTTTTAGCGTTTACAAACTTTTAGAATAACTCTATCAGTTAACCTCTACAGGATTTTCTCATATTGCTAATATTTTAACTTGACTATTTCATTTAATATTTATGAAGTTTAACTTTTCTTGAAGCATTGCAAGCAAATTTGTGAATATCTGTGTATTCCTTACCCCTATTTTGCCTGAGACTTCTTTGCAAAGTGGGTAATTACTTTCAAAATCAAATATTTGCTTTGGTGATCTTTCGCTAGTGAGCTTGTTTCCATTGAATGCCCAAGGTTCAATCCCAGGTTATGTCAAACCTAATTGTAAAGCTGGCATAATTTTTTTGTTATGCCACTAATCATACGCCATTTTGATAATAAGAGCAAAGGCTGGAAGTGTGACTGATGTAATCCAATATAGTGACATGGTAATATGTACACACAAAGTACATGCTGTGTTTCTGGTATATAGATATAAGAAGATGTGGTATGAGTGCCAATGAGACAACTCTCCATCCAAGTCAAAATTTATAAAAGTAAACCATTATAGGTCAAAGTACGGTCTTCAACACGGAGCCTTGGCTCACACTGAACAGTAAGCTATAAAGGGTCCCAAACATTACTAGTGTAAAACCATTCAAACGGGAAAACCAACGGTCTAATCTATATAAAAAACGAGAAACGAGAAACACTTATGAACCATATAAACAAACGACAACTACTGAACATCAGATTCCTGACTTAGAACAGGTGCAAACAAATGCAGCGGGTTTAAACGTTTTAATGGTACCAAACCTTCACCCTTTTTCTGAAACAATAGTGTAACATCACAACATAGAAATAACTTAACTCAATCAAAGGACATATTAACACCAGTGAACATACACTGAACAAATAAATTTGACCTATGAAACAATGTAAATACAAAATAAATGAACTAAGGGAAGAATGATAAAAGTAACATGTTATATCGGTATGAAATGTTAAACAATTTAAGAAAAACAATATGCTCGAACAAAAATATCAGCCATTTGCAATTACTTTAAACAGTTCCAACAGAGAAAGGAAATATTTTTACAAAATAAATAATTTTGATGCTCATAGTACGAAGTGAAAATTTATAGTAATACCAAACACTTAACAAAGCTGGTATATAGACCAGATATAACCCTGAATAACATTAAATAACAAAAAAGCATTACAATTAGTATCAAAAGGTCAAATAAACAAGAAAGTACGATTTGAGAGTACTCGCAGTTACTGACAGCTAGTTAAAAGCCAAAACAATTAATAATAAAAAATCATGCATCAGAGACTAAAATCAACTAAAACACATTCCAGGGATTTAGTATTTTAACGTCATGGACAGTCAAAGAAGACATGACTTGTGCAATGCCAAAAATAAATGTATCGACAGACAGTAGGATAGATAGGAGTTTAACCTCTTTATAGATATGTACAAACAAAGTACATGTTGTGTTAATGGTAATATGTTCAAACAAAGTACATGCTGTGTTACTGGTAATATGTACAAACAAAGTACGTGATTTGTTAAAGGTAAAATGTATAAACAAAGTACATGATGTGTTACTGGTAATTTGTGTATTTCTGAAATAGCGATGAGGAGAATACAGTAGTTACTTTCTCACAGGAATTTAGATGCTGCATCTCCATAAAATAATTATAACTGGGTATCCCGATCCGAAATCCGTAGAGGGATCCGATTCCTGAGGAGCAATTAATGAAAAGTGTGTAACCGTTGGTAGGACGAATATGGATCCGATTCCCACGGAGCATAATTCCTTCGTGGAAATCGGATACAGAGTTTACTTGAATAAAACCGTTTTCGGACAAATGCAAAATAAGAAGTTAAACAGTAGATAGAATCATCTTCTTACTTGTAATATGCTCTTTCAAATAATATTATGGTAACCATTTTTTCCTCATGACATTTAAATATTCTCTGCTTAATAAATGTCGTTCCACTTAACATATCATGTATACAGATACAGGTAATATATAATAATAATACTAATCGTATATAATTATTTACTTTGCAGTTCATATGTAATTTTGTTTTATTCCTAAGACCAAATTAGTGTCATTGCATTTTTAAATAAATAAATATATAATAGTAATTGATATAATAACTAAAAGTTTGTGTTACATTAGAGACATATCATACATATTCTAAATATAAATATTTCTAAGGATAAAGGAGAAATTCCAGTGCATAGTATTACTTTTTGGATAGATACAGTGGACTTCCCAACTATGTTAAGTTGTGATTAGTACTTGAAGGATATTATAGTAAAAGATTTCAATCGGTATTGTGCAGTAGGAGACCGGTTATGGTATATGTTTCAAACCATAGTAATTCTAGTCGAAAGTATGATGTCCATCTCCAGTTCTAATACGTATGATTAGTAAATTCAAACACTACACAAATTTGTAGTTACACGTGCATCACGACGATTGTCAGATGTGGAGCAGGATATACTTACCCCTCCTGAGCAACTGAGATCACTATCGGCTTTTGATGGGGTTCGTGTTGCTTAGTCTTTATTTCTATGTTGTGTTTTGAATAATGTTGTTTGTCTTTTGGTCGTTTTTACATTTTTTGCAATGGTGTTTTCAGTCTTCGACTTGTGAGTTTGAATATTCATTTGATATCTTCCGCCTCTTCTATACATAATGATTTAATACAAAGTAGGTCAAACATTATAAATTGACTATAAACTAAGTGACGACGCTTTTTATTAATCAAATTTTAAAACACATTCATTAGTAAAATAAATAAGAATGATATCTAGGTTGTGTCCAAGAGTCGAGTCTACAACAAGCATACCCCGATCACAGCGTAGACGTTTGACGCAAGTTAACCTAATTTAGAGATTATGAAAATTCTTGACCCTAACTTTGACTTTTATCAATTGGTCAATAAATTTACTTTAAAAAGAAGGCATTTGCATTAAGAAAGTATGGCTCATATCAGTTAGAGTTGTATTCTATTGATATAATCTATTTGAAAGTTTTTATATGTGTTGTACTAGTTACATATAAAGTATAAATATTAATATAACGTTTTCATGGCTTGGTTTGTTTCTTGTATACTATAAGTTGTAAACTTTAAGATATTCAATGTATGGAATGGTTGTAAGGTGTACATGTATTTCTGGCTTTGTTTATCTGACCTTGGCCTTTTTTTATTATGTTAAGTTAATGTGATACTTGTAGTAAAACTTTATATTTAGGACTATCAACATAAAATCAGTAGTAGTAAAGCAGACGAGACATTTTAGCGTGTGCACTCTTATTTCTATAACAACTATATGAATATTACGAAAGACAACATTTTGATTTAACATACTTATATACTTTAACCCAAACCTTTTTTGCGTCTATTGAATTAACATTTTTACTGTCATGATTGTGGAGCATGCGTGTGACTGAAACATATAATTCGATATGTTTACAAGTTGAACTGCTATATTTTATCAAAATGGAGGGCAGACTTGATGGCAAAAGAGCTCTCGTTACAGGAGCTGGAAAAGGTTTGTAGATACATTTCTTAGTTTTTGAATATATTTATATATTATGTAACAGGAACATAGGAACCGGGAAAGTTTCTTAGTCTTCGAATATATTTATATATTATGTTACAGGAACATAAGAACCGGCAAAGATATATTTATATATAAAGCATTCAATTGCCTATTAGACTGAAATACGGGAATAGGAAAAGATTTATAAAGAGTTCTAGATAAATTAAAAACATATTAACCTGTTGATTGATTGGTTGTTGTTTGCTTTACGTCCAGTTGTAACAATTTCATGTATGTTCATGACGAGAACACATTAAGAATAGGTACACTAGGTAGGTTCTTCGAGGTAGGGTTATTGGGATGAAGAGGGGGGAATTCGTACTGCCTCTGAAAAATGCGGGTTTATTGTTAGGAGCAGAATTTTTGCCCTGCAATATGCCACGTAGGGACCCCTCAAACACGTATTCTTTAAGAACCTTCATTTGGTACGCTCGAGACCAAACTCCATGATACAAAAAAAAAGGTTTCAGCAGTCAGACAAAACCCGTCTTATTTCAAATTTGTCATGTGTATGTGTTAGTTGTAAGTTTTAGTAATGGTCAATGGTGGCCTCTATTTGAGAATGACAAAAAAACAATGTCAAGGGCAAATGTTTCCCAGCTCATTCGCTGTGTCCTTGTCTGTGACGACAATTTGGATTTCGGTGGACCTAGTCTATGTTTAACTGGTTAATTATTGAAGGGATTTCGTTACGACAGGTTAAATTAAATTGGCTTTAATTATTGTTTTTCATTGATGCAGAGATTTGGCTTAGTGGTCAAGGCTGTGCCTGTGGAGTACTTATTACAAACGGGATGTGGAATCCTGGTAATTGCAGTGGTGTTATTTGTGGAGCACTGGGTTTGGATGCTGTCCGCGTGTACTCGTTGGTTCTTTAATTTGGGTGGACCTGAGGGTCTTGTCTCAGGCTGTTTGTATCGTCTTTACACTAAATCAGTTGAGTGTCTACTGATTGATACTTTGATTTGGAAAACAAGATTTGTCTATTAAATTTTATTTGCTTTGAACTAGCTTTTAGTAACTGTGAGTACTCTTAAATCGGTATTTTGTGTTTTTTGTCTTTATATCAGTTTTTTTTTTTTTTGCTTCGTTCCAATCTGATAAATCAAACCATTTGAAACTGACTTTTTATTTGTTTTTACTGTTGCACCGCTGTTCCATGATGATGGAGGATTTGACGATTGCAGGCATGTTTAGCTCCGGTGCATTCTGTGTGTGTGCCTGTTCCGGGTCGGGAACCTATAGTTCTGTGGTTTTTGATAATTGCTGTCTGTCGTGTCTTTATCGTTTATTATTTATTCATAAGGTAGGTCTTTGATTTTCTCGTTTTGGTTGTTTTACATGTGTCATGTCTTGTTGTTGTGAAAGATAATGTCAACTTAACCATTCCTCAGGTTATTTCTTCATTTTTTTCAACATATAAGTATTTACTATTTTTTAGGAATCGGTCGAGAAATCGCCAAAAGAATAGCTGAATGTGGTGCTGAAATATTCGCACTAAGTAGGACGCAAGAAGACCTTGATAGTCTGAAAGCAGAGGTAAAATACATAAATCTCCACACTAAGTAGTACACAAGAAGACCTTGCTAGTCTGAAAGCATAGAAAGTATATAGAAACTCCTGAAGTAGAGGTGATTTACAAAAAGTTTGAAGTCTTAGGTCTGGAAAAAATGAAAAGCACTCTCATACTCATACTAAAATATGCAAAGATATCTCAGAGGTAAAACAGATAGTATGGTATAAGGGGTAATTTACAGATAGCATGAACTAAGGGATAATGTACAGAAAGCCTTAAATCAGAGGTAATATATGAGAGTCTATCATTAAATATGGGTCACTCTTACGTCAAATTTTATATCTTGGATACTAAGTGACCTATCATTGTACAACTTGGTGCAAGGAGAACTTAAAATGTAGTCTCACTGATTACTTGGATACTAAGTGACTATCATTGAACAATGGTGTACGGCTTGGTGTAAGGAAAACTCTTGTGTAGCATATCAGCCTCCCTTACACACACACACATACACACACCAATCTGGATTATATTTCATCATTATTGACTTGTCCGAATCTTGGATACTAAGTGACTTAAAATTCTACTAAGTGGTGTAAGGATGAATCTTATAAAGAGTATATCAGAATCCCCCAAAATAGGTCACTATGTTCTACATTTTACACTTCATATACTTGTATTGAGTATTACATTGAAGTAATTTTCAGTAATAAGATATTAGTATAGGTTTCATTACAACAATTTCCAGCGAAAGGGATATTGCTCAGAAATACACTCTGTGATTAATTGATCCGTACCAAGTTGAAGCCCAAGCTTTTTTTCTTAGATCCCTATGGATCATATTCTGGTCCGTTTCACATCGAAATTAACTTTTATTTAAAGAACTGTTTCCATTTTATCATTTAAAGGGGCATTAGCTGCGATTTAGACCAAAATTTGGAATACGATTCTTTTTGCTTCAAGTTTTAATGAAAGCGAAAGGTGAAAATAATATTTCGCTATAAGCAGTCAGTTTGGTCCAAATTGGTCTAAATCTGATAAAAAACATCGGTGATGTTTTATACATTTGCAAGTTAAAATTTAATCTCACTGAATCCATATGCATGTGCCCTTCAATTTAACCCCTTAGTTTGAGATGAGTTACGCATTAGGCGTCTTCAGCTATTAATAGGCAAATAATGTTAACATTTAAAGATAAACAAGGGTGACCCATTTTGTTAAATGATTCGATCCACACATTTAAAGATAAACAAGGGTGACCCATTTGGTTAAATGATTCGATCCACACAAAAATCATTCTTATACAGATAAAAACGATGATTAACATATTTTCTTAACCTATAATATGAAATCAACCAGACCTAGAAAAATAAAATTCCACATGCTCGTTATCTATTTATGTTTGTATCATGTGATATGACCGTTGACATTCTACAATACACACGAAATTTTGATACATATCATCGAGTCCATGTATTGTTAATTGGTTATTTTAGACCTTTTTGTAATTTTGATATAAGTTTTAGAATGTTATAAATCAAATATGAGAATTTAAGTCAAATAGGTGAACAAGAATTTGACAGCTAGTGCTCGTTTAAGGTGTGTCAATTCAAAATAGTAGCAAGGCAAACTTGTAAACATGAAAGGTTATCTTTTTTTACATTTTAAAATCATCAATTAAAGGGGCATTAGCTACGAATTAGACCCCCAAAAAATAAAAAAAAATGACTTTTTTTTAACATTTATAAAATAATATTAAGCTATTGGCAGTCATTTTGGTTCATTTTCATCAGAATAAGCTAACACACATCGCTCATGTATTATTGGCTTGAAAGTCAATACTTCAACCTCATTTGATCCGTATTCATATGTAGGATTAAATATTGTCCGCCATGATATTATGTCCACCGGACACTTTTTCACAGTAAATTGTGTCCACGGACAAAATTTTATAATGAAATATTTACCTATGAAATCGTGTCCACATATATGAAAAAGTGTCCTTCAAAGAAAGGACAATATTTCATATGAAAAATGTCCTTCATAGAAAGGACAGTATTTCACGTGAAAAAGTGTCCAATCTCAATGCCTACAAAAAGTATACACATCTTCAGTTCTTTATCTAAACTGAAGTTTTAGAATTAGCATGGGCGTTTTGTCTCTTTTAAAACATTGCATGTTAACTGGAGTATTGAATTTATACAAAATGTGAACATCACCATGTGGAATTAATCATAAATTATACAATAAAACATATACTGTTACACACAATAAACAGTAATACATTTAATAGAACGTAATATAAACTATGTGATTAATAATGCATGTAATCTGAGACTACTATGACACATAGTTATAGTAGTCTCAGATGTAATTGATTTCAATGTCAGTTGAAACTGGTGGATACTCTTTGTCGACATCTTTTTATAGCTACGATTATTGAAAATGCTTTGGAATTCAATACCTTCAATTTTGTTTATATTAAATTATAACTGGTTCTTAATTGGTTTGTTTTAGTAATAGAAATTCAAATATATAGCTAAAACATTTCAGTGACTTTTTTTATTATCTCCCTTTAAAAATTGATTTTCAATAAATGGACACTTTTTCAATGTAAAGGGTGTCTTTTATTTACAGGACAGAATTTAATAGTATTTTATGGTGAAATTATGTCCGATTGAATGGACACTTTTTCACAGCATCGGACACATTTAAATACACCTTTTCTGTGAACAGATCCGGGTGGACACATTTTCACATGACACTTTTATGGCTCACACATGCAACCTTTAATTTGAATTTGGAAACCGGCTGCGCATGCGTTCAGCATGTAGTAAGCATGTTCATTCGTTGAAATGAAAAGAATGTCAACATTGAGTAGTAAAACAAGGAAGCCACCAGGAATATCCATTTCGGTGACCAATCTGGACTACAAAAATCATTCTTGTATACAGGCAAAACAATAGTTTACATATATTTTAAATCTATAACATGAAATCAAACAGACCTAGAAAACTTGAATCGTCATTATTCGATTCACGTGCTTGTCTGTCTATTAATATCTGTTTTTTTATGCTCATATCGATTTAAATGAGCATTGATAGTCTTCTGAGGTTAACTCGACGTATATTTAGATGGCGTATAGTCTAAAATACGCACGAATTGCTGATACATCATAACGAGTCCACGCATTGTTAATTATTTATTTTTTTTGTGGACTTTTGGTAATTTGGATATACGTTTTAGTATGTTATAAGTTTGGTGAACATATATTTGACAGATAATGCCTTTAAGATCAGAGACGTGTATATTTACCATATATGTCTCTGTTCAAATAAAGGGGGAATGTCAAGTGGCAAATTACAATCAAAGTATAAACATAACTCTACCAAATTAGACCACAAGAGATGAAAAATGGCTAGTAAAAGCACACACTATGTGTTACATCCTCAATCGACTCATACTCCAATAAAACTTTGCTTGCTAAACTGAACATTGCTCTGTTGATTCCAGGTACCAAATATCAACATAATGAACGTGGACCTACAAGACTGGGATAAAACAAGAGAGGAAGTCAGTAAGATCGGTCACATAGACTTACTGGTCAACAATGCTGGTGTTGGCTGTAGATTGCCATTCATAGACACACCAAAAGAAGAGATAGATAGGTAAGAATATATACAGAAATATTTATAATTGTGTCTCACTTTACACTCTACATAAACATATTTTTTTTACTGTTGTGCAGTTTTGATGTACTCCATTGTAGAAAACAGGTAACTGTTTGTATTTCATCTTCCTCGAAGCCTTAAGTTAAGTATATTATACACATTGTCCGAAGTTACTTTATATATATAAATAAGGAGATGTGGTAACTATGATCGCCAATGAGACAACGATCCACCAAGTTCAAATAAAGTGGACGTATACAATTATAGGCAACCGTACGGCGTTCAACAATGAGAAAAACCCATACGTATAGTCGGCTATTAAAAGCCCCGATATGAAAAATATGTAACAATTCAATTGAGAAAACAAGTGGCCTAATTTATAACAATACAATTTACGAAAAACAAATATGACCGACATGAACCAACGACAACCACTAAACTACAATCTCCTGACTTGGAACAGGCACATAAAGAATGTGGCAGGGTTAAACATGTTTGTGGGTGCTCAACCCTCCCCTAACCTGGGATAATGGTATTACAGCACAACATAAGTACAAACTATAAAAAATCAGTTGAAAATGGCTTCATTCATAAGATCGATACAAAGCAGAAAAAAGTCTAACAAAAACACAGACGGGACGTGGAAGGGTATTTATACATCCCTCACAATACACATTATCCCATGTTAAGTTATATTATACACATTGTCCTAATGTAATAAAAGTTGCATTATGCACATTTTTCATATATGAGACATATTGTTGCCTATACGGTTTATGCCAATCGATAGCATTTAAATTTTTTGTATATTCATTAAGAAAGTACGATATAGTCATGAAGGCAGCAACAATGAGAAATCACACATTTCTTTTCAAAAGAAGGCGAAAGATACTAAAGAGACATTCAAACTCATAAGTTGAAAATAAACTGACAACGCCAAGGAAAAAAATGAAAAACACAAATACACAAACAGCAGTATACAAAACACAATAAAGAAACTTAAGATCGACTGAGCAACACGAACCCCACCAAAAACCGGGGGTGATCTCAGGTACTCCGGAAGGGTAAACAGATCCTGCTCTACGTGTATTCTTTTTAAAATTTGGGAGCTAAACTAAAAACATAACAAAACTCCATGCCAAAATAAAAACAAAACAAAACAAACATAAGAAATTATAAATTGAGCCTGAAAATTCCCCATCATTGTCAATATTAAAGGAGAGGGAGGACATGAGGCCACCAACTCCCACTTTCTTTCCTCTTACTCCCAGACGAAAATAAATTTTCCCAAAAATATCCCAGTTTTTATTCCCCCTCTTCGCTCAGTTCCCGCCCCCCCCCCTGACTCTCACTTCCCTCCTCCCTGACTCCTGCTTCCCTCCCCTTGACTCCAGCTTTTCGCCCCTCATTCCCATTTCCCTTACCCCTGTCTACCTCCTCTTAAAGATAATGATAAAGGTAAAATTAATTGGCGGCTTTATCTACAAGCCTTTTGCTTACTTTTTTATATTCTGTCATTGATATCAATATTGATTCGCAGTTAAAATTCATGTTCGAATTGTTTCAGGTTATATGATGTCAACGTTAAAGCTGTGTTCAATGTTTCGCAGGTAATCATTATGTTCATCGAAAGAATTTCAATATATATGTAATTGCAAAATAAACTTGTCGTGTTAAAATTTATTTTAAACGGGCACTTTTCGACATAGGCAATTTTAGAGGAGAAAATTTATGTAAAAAATTATTGGAAGACAACGAACGACGGACGAATGAGGCCAATTGATGAAAAAGCTCACTTTCCCGTTGGGTCAGGTGATCTATAACCAACCAAGAAATCCAAACAAGATTGCACCGTTCTTGAATTTAAAAAAAAAACAAATGTCTAACAACTCATAAAATTCGGCTTACACGAACGAGATAAACTAATCAGACATGGCAAATGAACTTCACTGGCGTTTTTTCAACAAAAATAAATACTACATATTATTTATACAAGAGTGTACGCACTGACATGTCGCAAATGCTTGAATGATCGTAATTGAATTTATTTTGAAGGTCTGCAAGATAAAGAATTTAATAAAAGTGTCACATAAACTTAACATTGTTCATGGAACCATTAAAAAGTCGAGGACTAATGAAACCTGCCAGACGGACATGAACACATTCTAATTATTAAAACCAACCAAAAAAAAAAACCTTAACATATACCAATTATTTAAGGAAATAAATTCACGGTCACATAAATTGCATGTGGCCATACGAGCAATAATATAGAAATGATGTCAAGGGCAGTGGACATATTGCAGATAGAAAACATCGTCAGGTCTATGTGCGAGATATGTTGCAGTCAAACCTTCTAACTTCTGACATATGAAGCTTCATACAAATAGTTCAAGCCGCCACGAATATGCATCCCTTGGTCTCGCAATCCGACTATTCCAAAAAATCAATGTGAACTTTTATAATAAACATGATAATCCAACTCACATACACCCGATTTCGCGGGTGTCCCTGTTTTCTTATTTCTTATAAAATTTCAAGTTGGTATACGATTTAGTTATATAACATCAGTGGCGAATCCAGGCGGCGTACAGGTCGCACGCCCCGACCCCAAACTTTGATGACCCAAACTATATTAAATCATGTATTTCCATGTCAAAGATTTGTTTAAGCATAAAATCGTCAAAAGATTGTTCGCCTCGCAACGCTCGGCGGTATGTAGGCTGTTTGAATTACGTCCACTTTGAAAGAACCTGAATCCGTCCCTATATATTGTCAAAAATATATTGACCAACGTCAATGTACGATAATCATAACACAATGGAGAGAGAACAGAACCGTTTATCTATAGGACGACTGTAAATAAAATAATCATTATTGCATTTTCTCGATGGCCTGAGACTATTTTACTAACTTATACTTAGTATTATAGTTACCTTTAGTGATAAATAGATTTGATTTTTAATGCATGATAGTTGTAATCCTTTTTCTCCCCATAAACATTCATTTTCTATGGCGATTCTGCATGCATATACATTTGTCTTATAATAACTTATTATCATGCATTATAATGAACATTTATCCTCAAAAAGATTTATTTAAAACGATCATAGGAAAGATTACACTCTTAGTGTGATTTGATTACTTATAAAGATAACCATCCTATTGTGCAAATCAAATGTGCGTGCTTCAATCTTTAAGACCGTAAACTTTAATTTCAAGTTTAAACATTTAAATTTACATAATGCATATAAAAAACGTATAGAGGGCTTAAACCTCAATTTGCGTTGTAACCTTCATTTCTATCTATTTCGCAGTTTAAAATGTTTTTTGAATGCAAAGCAAAATTATAATTATTTTTGTTCTAATAAAGTAGGAATTCAAGTGCTTACAGATTAAAATAAATAATATAATAAAATAAGTTGTCCTCTGAAAGAACTCGTTTTCCAACGAGCCACCAAACTCTTTTTTAACGCTGAAGTTAAATTATGAAATGCGATAATGATTTTTTTTTCTTTGACAAAACCGGGCTATGCATTGTGAAATCTAGGACAAAACCGGGCTATGCATTATGAAATCTAGGACAAAACCGGGTGGTACACATGGACCAAACCGGTTTCTTCCATTTTAACATGACCCATTTCTTTTATTCCATACACAGAAATACAAGTATTGAGGTGCTCAAAATGACTAGTTTTGCAATCTCCATGTCAGTATCTTTCTTTCCGTACCTATTTTTCCGTACAATGTGAACAATTTAACGAGAAATTAAACAAATTCGAGGCAAGGTTCACTCAATTCGTCATTTCGACATGCATTTCTACTTATTTCTAGAACTAGAACGGTTGTAGAAAATATTACATCTCAAAGTAGAAAATAGTTGTATATGTATATATATTCTTCGATATCATAAAAAGAAATAAAAAATAATCAGAAACCTACCTTTTCTATGTCTATTGATGTTCCGTCACCGTGCCGGATGTTAGATACCATCGAGTCCAAACATTTTTTGCCGGTGTAGTTTAGACACTGTGAACTTACTGAAAATCAATGGCCTGATTTATATGAAAAAAAAAAACGAAAAACAATTGACGAACAGCAACCTACGACTACCACTTAATTACAAGTTTCTGACCTTGGACAACCACATATAAAGAATGTTGCGGGGATGAACATGTTTGCTAGGGCTTATCCACCCCACCCTTAACCAGCTGTGACAGTTCTAAACAAACTGCACAAACCTGTCGGAAAGAGCTTGAATTATCAGAACAGCACAACACATAAAATATACTAACAATTAAACAGAAGCACAAAGTAACGATCAAAGAGTTCTCGAAGTTACTGAAGTCTAGTTAAGGCCAATTACAACAAATGAATAATCATTTTTTGGGCTGCTTGTTTGTTATCTATATCAACCACACTTGCAATAAAATGCATTAGTATTAAAAAAAAAACATGCTACAGATTCTTTATCTACGTATTCTAAAAAGAACTTAAATAGTTCTCGTTAAACTTTTTCTTTTTTTTTTTATCTCATTGTTTGTATTGTATTATGAAAAATTATTGATGTTGTAATGTTTATGCCCTTTGGGGCCCATAATTGGAAATAAAATATCTTATCTTATCTTATCTTATCTTATACCCAGACTAAAATATCAATCAGTACACTTGCAATAGATTCAGTGGAAAGACGTCATAATCAGCCCGATGTAAGGACGACCTTGCGCATTTAAAACAAATTATTAATTCATAATAAATGCAAAATCTGCAACAATGACGATCACCCGAATTCTAATTAGCGAAAATTGCACACAGAAAGGAGTTATTACTATGAAAATCTTATTATTAATTTCAAATGCCGACACATCTTTATAACAGAGGTTACTTTGAATTGCGTTTAATTTTGAAAAATAACTGTTTATATCCCTTATGAAAAAAGTATCTATGTCTAAGTAAATATAAGATTGGGTAACCAAGATTCTATTCCTGTTGAAGGTAATTGCCAAGCGCATGATAGAAAAAGGAGAAGGCGGCTCAATAGTAAATATATCCAGTGTATTGTCAAGGACAGCTCATACTGAAGTCAGCGCTTATTCTTCAACAAAAGGTGCCGTCGATAATATGACCAGATGTATGGCTCTAGAACTCGGACCACATAACGTAAGCTCAATAACTGTAGAACTGACCGTTTGTTTCATATAGCAAAACAATTAATTGAATAGATCCCATAGAAATAAAGTTTTATGCGGTTTTACATCGGACATGGGACACGGAATTGTTCTTTCTCTAATCTGAAAGTAATATATTTATTTTAGGAGCTACCATTTGATTTTTTTATAGGGGTGGGGGGGAGGGGGCTAGGATGAAAAATTTTGTCCTGCATTTTTTTGTTGTTGTAATTTCTGTCCTGCCTTTTTATTTTTCACTCTATTCGGTCCTGCCTTTTTTTATTAGTTTATCCTGACTTTTTTTACATAAATTGTCATCCTACCTTTTTTTTTTTTGCCAACTTGCTCATCCTGCCTTTTTTTTTTACTCAAAACTCCTGTCCTGCCTTTTTTCAAATTTCATCCTAGCCCCCACCCCCCTAAAAATCAAATGGTAGCTCCCTTATTTAGAAAGAAGGGTTACATTAAAACCGCATGCTTTCAGGGGAGCTATTTTTTGACTCACTAGATTTTCTGTAATCTCAATATTCAATCAACATTCCCGCTAACTTTAGATTGATTTTTGTAACCCATTTAAGAATTGAAAGACAAACAGTTCTCACCAGTACGTTTGTGTTTTGGTTGGTTCGATTTACTTTTGAAGCGATGACCTATATATTTCTTTCTAGATGTTTCTGTTGGTTCCGAAAAGTCAATTTCAACCAATCGGCGGAATTTTAATTTTGACCATAACATTTTGAGATGCAGATATTCAATGCATTTCAACCAATCAGCGGATGACCATATCTATTTTTGATGCAGATATTTGCAGACTAAAATGGAAGTTGTAGTAAAATAGAATGCTTTTAGTAGATATAGAATAGGGAGTAATGAACTCTTTTAGCAAAAGAAGGATTGGATCGGGGTTCTGTGTATTCACATGATTTGTATTTCTCTCCCTACTCTTGAATTTTCAGGTGGAATTTTCCGACTCAAATGGTTCACCAAAAACATTTATTTTATTATATAGTAAAGTAAATTAAATAACTAACTCCTTTACAACGGGGACACTTGCGGACGGTTTATCCACAATTTCGTTTAACAGCATCAGTGGCGGATCCAGAAATTTTCATAAGTGGGGGCCCACTGACTGCCTAAGAGGGGGCCCGCTCCGGTTACGCTCCAGTGATTTCCTATATAATCAACCAAATTTTTCCCAAAAAAAGGGGGGGCGGCCCCCTGGGCCCCCTATAAATCCGCCTCTGAGCATATGCAATGAATTATACAGACAAGTAAAAAATATTCAAATGTCATTAAAAATTAAAAATGGTACATTATCAAATAAGACAGCTTACATAAAAGAAATACACATTATGTACAACATAAAAAAGATAAATTAAACTAAGAGTTACAAAATATTGCACAAACAAATCACATTTAAACTCTAGGTTCCAAAGCCAATGATCTGTGAGAGTACATTTCGCTCAACAATTGTTTACTTAAACTGTCCATATTTTTACTAATATAGGGATCAACCTGATAAAAAATAATCACCAATCAGTATTTGTATTTTATCGTAGGACGATAACTCTGTGAAGCAGAGGCCTGTGAAAGTAGAACATCGATATTCATTTATATCAGTAAAGTATTTATTTCGTATAGAAGAAAATCCAGAACACTCAAGTAGGAAGTGTTCAACAGACTCGTCAGATTTACATAAACATATAGAAGATAGAAGAAGATGTTTTATTTCCATTAAATGGGCTCCAAGGAGTATAGTACAATATAAGACACTAATAAGACAATAACAAAACGAAACAACAATAGTCTAGTATACATACAAAGAAAAAAAAGGCAGTTTGAACATCATGAACTACACACATATACATATACGTTCAACAGTGTTTCCCTCCTTCTAAGGTACACCCCAACATGAAAAAGTTCCTAAAATAAATTGGCAATGTATTGGATATTTAACTTAACTGCAAAAGCCACAAGGGACGGTGCTGCATGGAAAGGTGGGAGATAGACTCACATGGTATACATGAATGTAAAATAGATAATTTGGTTATGATATTATGAGCAGATGCACAAACCTGGTATGTCATCCTCGTGCCTGATGCAAAAGGAGTTGATACATATTGTAAGATGACCCGACTGTAAGAGGCACCAAGGGACGATGCTAAATGACATGCCCAAGTTTTCATAGTACGAAATAGAAAAATACTTAAATATAATGTATATGGGAATAATTCTGATTGTCAATGATAAAATAAATACAAGAAGGTACATCATTATTATCATAGGTGAGTCTAGGTAACCACCATGCCATCCTCGTGCCTGATGCAGATAAGCTAGATATATATTTTGCCTTCATCAATCAGATCACAAACACATATTAATATATCAACATTCTCTATATTAAGTAGCCAGATTAGTTTTTGGCTAGGAATCAAGTGCTGAAAGTCAGGACACAGTGAGTTGATCATGGAGTACATGCAGTTTCTTCTAGTTAAAGATGATGTACGTGAAAATAAAAAAATGTTTTTCATCATCAATTTCATTTGAGGTGCACCTGAAACATATTCTGTTTTGTCGAGAAACACCATGATATCTACATTGTTCCCCAAATTTCTGAACTATATAAGAGAATAGGTTTAATTGTATGATCAAATACATGAAGAATGTTTTTTAAACTTGGATTCAGTGACAGAAAGTCCTTGCGTAGCTTATGGTAGGCTTTTAACGCCTTATTATACAATTCTCTCTGAGCGAAGGAAAAAGATCCAGATGCACTAAAAGTTATTCCTAAATATTTACAATGTTGAGCACAATCAATAAGTATGTTATTAAAATAAAATCTATGTTTGATATGTCTGCCTGCCTTGTTAAATACAAGCACCTTAGTTTTATTGGAATTTTTCAAAAACCAATCTTTACAATAAGTACTTAATCGATCAAGTTTACTCTGAAGTCCTTTTGCTGAAGTTGGAAAAAATGACAATATCATCAGCATATAGTAAAGAATGGACTAGTCGTGAATTAACAAAACTGAATCAGGGGAACTTTTAAAACAATCAGGAATGTCATTTATGAAAATTTTAAACAAATTTGGACTCAAATTGTCTCCCTGTTTTACTCCTACTTAAGTTCTAAAGGGATCTGTCACCCTATTCTTTAATCGAACACAAGATTTACTCTGGGCATACGTGCTCTTAACGATATTATAAAAGTTTGAACCCACCCCTATATTTAACAGCTTGCTTAAGTTTTATCCCTGCGGTGAATGACAGTATCGAAAGCATTCTGGAAATCAACAAAGCAGGCAAACACTCTACCTTCTTTTGTATAACAATACTTATCAATAATAGTTTTTAGAATGAACATATGGTCAGATGGTCGTGCTTTTTCTGGTAAACCCAATTTGGCTATCATCAATGATATGATATTTATCTAAGAATTTAAAAAGACGTGTATAAAGTATCTTATTAAAAAGCTTCCCCGATGAAACAGTGATTGTGATTCCTCGATAATTATTATGGTCAGATGCATCGTTCCCTTAATGAATTGGGAATAAACAACCTGTGGTCTAGGGTTCAGGGTATTTTCCATAAGAAAGACAAAGATTAAAAATTTTGAGGAAACATGGTAGTAAAGAGGTTTGACCATACTTTAACATAGAATTGGAGCTAGTATCTTATTAGCCTGCTGTTTTATTAACCTTTATAGATGAGTCAAATCAGTAGATAATTTAGTTTCAGAAATCTTACTGTCAAGTTCATTGAAACATTTACTTTTTCAAGAATATTCAGTTTTTGCTCTAAATACTGAAGTCTTTCTTTAAATTCATCTTTTGGTTCAGTTAAATTTTTAAAATGGTTTAACCATTCTGAAGGGGCAATCAATGCACTTTTATCATCTTTCTCTTTACCCTGCAGTTCATCAATCAGTCGCCAATACTTCTTGGGATTTTCATTAAAAAGATTTTCAATTTGATGCAGTAATGATTGTTTATACTCCCTATATTTGCATATACGAGCCTTAGTATAAACGCTGCAGTTTGTAATAGTGATCTTTAACAGCAGGATCTCTGGGATATCTGAAATATATTTTTCATAATTCAGGAGGTTATTTCTCATATATGAAAGGTTACAGTCAAACCACTTTTGATGTTTTTCTTTCTTAGTCGAATGTATTTTACGTTTCTTAAGAGCTATATTAGCAGCTGAGGTAATGACATCTGTTAATTCTAGAGATGCTTTATCAATTGATTCATGGGAATCTATAGAATCCTGATTAAGAAGTTTTTCAAGTCGCTGTTGAAATTCTTTAGAACAAAGTGCATCCTGAAAAAGGGCTGGAGAGTCATCTGACCATATGAAACCTGGAATTAATTCATGAGTGCTAACAGTATCATGATTAGTATAAATACAATATTTAGCTGATAGTGACCATTCATATATTTGGCAAGTGGGACTCTCGCTAAGATTCATCCTATATATAAGACTTGGTTCAAAGGTAAACAAGTGTGCGTGTTAACAATTTTAGTCTTGCAGACTTAAAATCCAGCAAGTTCCGACAGATAGGGCTGCCTTCCTTTTGCAAAATTAAATTTAGAGAAAACATCTAGGCTGCTTTTATTATTTATTACTTGATATTCCTTTCTACGAACAAACCTTCCAAGAAACTGTTTAAATATATTCGAGTTGTAAAAGTGATTCAGACCAACCAAATTAAGCAAATTGATCATATATTGTGGATAATCCCACCCCTTTGAAGCGTTAGGGACAAGTTTGGGAAAAGAGCAGCTTTTGGGGTATTCATCTTAGTATTAAAAATAAGTTTAGCCGTTTTATATTGCCATGTTGCAAGTATTTGGTGACTTGAAACGGATGGAGGTAGCCATACGGCACATCCGTGTGCTAGAGATGGTCGGATAACCGAGTTCCAAAGAGCATCCCCAAAAGATATGCGATTAAAAAATCCGTGCTCATTAAGTAGCTTAGTCATATAATTCAGTTTGCGCTCGAAAATATCTTTTAAAAAATGATTGATATGGTAAGCAAAAGTCAAAGCGCGGGTAAAATAAACTCCAAGATATTTATATTCATTAGTCTCGTCCAAATGCTCATTTCTTAGTTTTATCTAAGCGTTTACCTACTATCATAATCTTGGATTTGTGTGGGTTAAACTTTAAATTCTACTTTGATGCAAATTTGGCTGTTATATCTATCAGACACTGTAGTTCCTTCTCGGACTTCCGAATAAGGACTACATCATCAGCAAACATTAAACAGTTCAAAAAAATTTGTGAGGAGAGCTCGACGCCAAGATTTTCCTTTATTGATATTCATTGACTTTGTATCTTTTTTAATCTTTCCAATTGTTTTGATTTGAGCGCCAGTGATGATTAGTGTAGGCGAAACGCGCGTCTGGTGTACAAAGCGATAAGCCTGGTACATTTGACGAGTGTTTACAGGCTTTGGACAGGCACTAAAATAATATTGCATGGTTAATATAAATAAGAAGAGGTGGTATGAACTCCATCCAAGTCACAATGTATAAAAAGTTAACAATTATAGGTCAAAGTACGGCCTTCAACACGGAGCCTTGGCTCACACCGAACAGTAAGCTATAGAGGTCCCCAAAATGTCTAGTGTAAACAATTCGAACACGAAAACCAACGGTCTAATCTATATAAAAAACGAGAAGCGAGAAACACTTATAAACCACACCAACAAACGACAACCACTGAACAACAGGCTCCTGACTCAGGACAGGTGCATAAAAATGCAGCGGGTTTAAACGTTTTAACAGGCCAACCTTTACCCTAACCTGAGACAGTAGTGTAACATTACAACATAAAAAGACACACTACAAAATATCAATTGAAATGGCTCAACTCGATCAAAAAGACATTTGAACAAAAACAAGTAAACATACGATTAAACATGATTTTGAGCGCTCAATAGTCCCTAATATGGTACAGTGGTGTACAACACAACATAAAAACAAACTGTAAAAAATATTTGGAGAGGGGCTTGGTTCATTTGAGCACCTGAGATTACCACTGGTTTTGTGTGGGGTTCCTGTTGCTCAGTCTTATATTTTTATGTATTTATTTGTGGTTTGAATTTTTCGTCATGTTTGTCAGTTTTTCTTCTTTGAGTGTTGAATGTCCTCTTGGTATGTTGAAACATTTAAAACTCTAAGGGGTTTCTACCCCAAGATACAGATTACCAAATTATTTGGAACGACTTCTCGAATTATTCGGTTATTTATGCTTTTCAACTTTGTAATTGATCTGGCTTTCTAATTGTTTTGATTTGAGGGCCACTGATGAGTCCGATTAAGACGTAACGCGCGTCTGGCATACCAAATTATAAGCCGGACATTTTTATGAGTTCTTAAGGCCTGGGGCAGGTCCGAAAAGAATATAATTGGATTAAACATGTTTGAGCGCTCAACCCTCCCCTAACATGGGACAGTTTTGTAAAAGCATAAAATAAGAACAAACTGTTAAAAAATTATTTGCAAAGGGGCTAGGTTCATCTGAGCAACTCCGGTTTAAGATGGGGTTCCTGTTGCACAGTCTTCTAGTTTTTAATATAAATAAGATGTGGTATGAGTGCCAATGAGACAACTCTCCATCCAAGTCACAATGTACAAAAAGTTAACAATATTGATTTGTGGCTCCTGAAGAGTTTTGTTATCCCAAAGGATATCTGCATACTTTAATGATTGATTGGTGATTGTTTTACGCTGCACCAACGCAAAGGGCTATATCGCAGCGATGCATACTCTAACGCGGGTCGTATAAAAAGATAAATATATACCAGAACTTATCTAGACACATGATACGCCAACATTCTTAATATGTTAAGTCTTCCACACGCTAGTTTAAATTTGATTAATCTGATTTCTCTATTAACAGTTACTCTGGAGGTTTAGACCAAGTTACTTCTTTCACTGGATTGTCTGGAACTAAAATAAACCGGATAGTTTCCAAATATTCTCAACGTAAATAAAAGCGATCAAATTTTAGATAAATTAAATTGTAAAATACAGCATTTTGACCAGTTATGTATGTATACCTCATCAAATATACCAGGCTTACAATTTTGGTACGCCAAACACGCGTATATATCTGTGATTAGCATATCTGCACATGGTCCAATTCGTCAATAACAACGAGAAGTGGTGTATCATCGACGAAACTTTTCATATACAACAACTTATACCTTCTATTTTATTATTTATATACTAGTACATCAAGAACAAAAATGACATAAAATAGATTTTATGTAGCAACATTTCAGAATCGCCGGCAAATGAATTATATTGTTTACTGTTAATACGATATTCAAGAGTGTGCGTTTCCTATCATGAATTCTTTGCAATCTAATTAAAATATAGAACTCGGATTTCAAACGAAATCCGAGTTCTATATTTTAATTAGATTAGAATTCTTTGATAAAGGATTGCTGCTTACAAGAAAGCTATTGAATAACAGGTTCCTCGAGGTGAAGTTGAAGTCATCTCATTGAAAGATTTTAAGAGCATTACCTTGTGCAATTCCAAAATATAAGTATCGATAGGATGTAGAACCACCGATAAGTCTTAATAATTGTTAAACAAGTCAATTAATACTTGGCTATTGAATACAAAATCAGTTTTAATACCGATCAAGACTATATTCAGAGATCTAGATTACTACAGTGTTAGATTGATAACCTTACGAATAAGTATATTGTATGCACCAGTAAGCTTATATGAATCGTATTAAAAATAAGTATATTGTATGCACCAGTAAGCTTATATGAATCGTATTACGAATAAGTATATTGTATGCACCAGTAAGCTTATATGAATCGTATTAAAAATAAGTATATTGTATGCACCAGTAAGCTTATATGAATCGTATTACGAATAAGTATATTGTATGCACCAGTAAGCTTATATGAATCGTATTACGAATAAGTATATTGTATGCACCAGTAAGCTTATATGAATCGTATTTTCCTTTAATGGCTCTACAACCCATATTGCCAAAATAAAAAGGATGTGATATTCCGTTTGTATTATTAAGATCATTACTCGATACAGCCAAACTACCAAACCAAATCTTTCTTTTAATTTAGTAAAGGTTTTAGTTAAGTAATTTGTAGTAGCGAAATCCCTGTCTTTGTTAATCAGTAACCATTGATTCATAAATTACGTTCATAGAAGTCTAAAACGTTTCTATAGGACATAGAGACCGAGTTGGGAAATATAAATACCATAAAAATGGATACCACCGTCCAAAAAAATGAAAGTTACATTGCGAACGAAAACCCGTCTTTTCTTTTGTAAATTGCAGTAAGGAGTTTCAGCGTGAAACTGCAATTGAATAAACCAATTATTGAGGTCTTTATTAAATTTTTAAAAGTCAGTCCCCTAGGTATATATTCGCGAGAAAATTTAAAAAAAAATCTAATTATTTAAACCAGGATAATGATAAATTTCATCATACTGTAGTGTTGTATTTTCTTGCAATTTATTTGACAATATATTTATTTTTATTACCACAGATAAGGGTCAATTCAGTAAACCCAACTGTCATAATGACAGACATAATGAAAGGACACGAGCATACAGTAGCAAGTTTACTGGAAAGAACACCAATGGGAAGGTTTGCTGGTAAGTATACGGTGACCTATAGTTGTTAATTTCTGTGTCATTTGGTCTCTTGTGGAGAGTTGTCTCATTGGCAATCATACCACATCTTCTTTTTTATATAGACCGAATACCTCATGGTAAGGTTTGCTGGTAAGTAGACTAGACCGAATACCTCATGGAAAAATTTGTTGGTAAGTAAACTATACGAAATACCAATTGGAATGTGTGCTGCGGATAATTATGGACAATCAACACATGGAAAGGTTTGCTGGTAAGTGTACTAGACAAAATATCTATGGGAGGGTTTGCTGGTAAGTGTACTAGACAGAATACCTATGAGAAGGTTTGTTGGTGAGTCAACTAGACAGAATACCCATGGAAAGGTTTGCTGGTAAGTTAACTATACGAAATACCAATTGGAATGTGTGCTGCGGATAATTATGGACAATCAACACATGGAAAGGTTTGCTGGTAAGTGTACTAGACAAAATATCTATGGGAGGGTTTGCTGGTAAGTGTACTAGACAGAATACATATGAGAAGGTTTGCTGGTAAGTCAACTAGACAGAATACCCATGGAAAGGTTTGCTGGTAAGTGAACTATACGAAATACCAATTGGAATGTGTGCTGCGGATAATTATGGACAATCAACACATGGAAAGGTTTGCTGGTAAGTGTACTTGACAAAATATCTATGGGAGGGTTTGCTGGTAAGTGTACTAGACAGAATACCTATAAGAAGGTTTGCTGGTAAGTCAACTAGACAGAATACCCATGGAAAGGTTTGCTGGTAGGTTTACTAGACAAATTACCCATTGGAAGGTTTGATGGTAAGTTTACTAGTCAAATTACCCATTGGAAGGTTTGGTGGTAAGTTTACCAGACAGAATACCTTATTAGAATGTTTGCTGGTAGGTAGACTAGACAGAATACCTCAGGGGAAGGTTTGCTGGTAAGTAGACTCATAGGAAGGTTTGCTGGTAAGTAGACTAGACAGAATACTTCATGGGAAGGTTTGTTAGTAAGTAGACTAGACATAATACCTCAGGGGAAGGTTTTCTGGTAGGCAGACTAGACAGGATACCTCATGGGAAGGTTTGCTGGTAAGAAGACTAGACATAATACCACATGGAAAGGTTGGCTGGTAAGTAGACTAGACAGAATACCTCATAGGAAGATTCGCTGGTTAGTAGACTAGACAGAATACTTCATTGGAAGGTTTGCTGGTAAGTAGACTAGACGAAGGTTTGCTGGTAAGTAGACTAGACGGAATACCTCATGGGAAGGTTTGCTGGTAAGTATTCTACAAATTTGAAGGCCGTACGGTGACCTATAATTGTTAATTTCTGTGTCATTTGGTCTGTTGTGGAGAGTTGTTTCATTGGCAATCATACAACATCTTCTTATTTTTATAATACCACATGGGAAGGTTTGCTGGTAAGTAGACTAGACAGAATACCTCATGGGAAGGTTTGTTAGTAAGTAGACTAGACAGAATACCTTATGGGAAGGTTTGTTAGTAAGTAGACTAGACAGGATACCTCATGGGAAGGTTTGCTAGTAAGTATACGGACAGAATACCTCATGGGAAGGTTTGCTGGTAAGTAGACTAGACAGAATATCTCATGGGAAGGTTTGTTAGTAAGTAGACTAGACAGAAAACCTTATGGAAAGGTTTGTTGGTAAGTAGACTAGACAGGATACCTCATGGGAAGGTTTGCTAGTGAGTATACGGACAGAATACCTCATGGGAAAGTTTGCTGGTAAGTAGACTAGGCAGAATACCTCATGGGAAGGTTTGCTGGTAGGTAGACTAGACAGGATACCTCATGGGAAGGTTTGCTAGACATAATACCTCATGGGAAGGTTTGTTAGTAAGGAGACTAGACATAATACCTCATGAGAAGGTTTGTTAGTAAGTAGACTAGACATTATACCATATGGGAAGGTTTGCTGGTAAGTAGACTAGGCACTCATACCACATCTTCTTATATCTATAGACAGAATACCTCATGGGTAGGTTTGCTGGTAAGTAGACTAGACAGAATACCTCGTGGGAAGGGTTGTTAGTAAGTATACGTTTTTTAGCTACACCCGATGGAATCGCATGAGGATCGAGACTGGTTACGTATCCTGCTATACATGCATCACCCGCCCTGTGAATCCACACTCAGTCAAAATGTCACAATCGGAAATCGGATACAATTGGTATAATTACAGATCAGACAACTTTACTGGTATATAGAGATCTAAGATTGTGAAAACATGACGCCAGTGAGTTGAGACACCAACATATTGTATCGGTCCACCAATTCGTAAAACTTATGTGGAAGGAAATTTTACCAATTTGTTTTCCTTTCTTTGCTATTTTCTGAAATCTCCAATAAAAAAAGGAAAAACAGTAAGTTGCAAAATGGATCAAATAGATATGATCTATTCATACCCGGAATATCACTTGACTCCTAATAGAAGTTATTATCCTAACATCGCATTTGTTTACAATTTTCCGGATGATAATTAAAGTGTCGCTTGGCCAAATCTTTTGAATTTTTTATTCAATGTCATAGACAATAAAATATAGATCAACTTTGATTTTGATAGGTTTTAATTTACTGTTCAAGAGTTATAGCACTTGGTAAACTTCAAAATTGGTGTATCTTTATTATCATTTAAGAACCACTTGAACACGTCGATTTGAAATTTTAACACAATTTCCATTCTCTAATCTATATCATGTTTAATTGCGATGGTTGTCACATTTTTCGTTCAAGAGTAATGGCCCTTACTCACGATGAATTATAGTTGTTGTCCTTAAAGTCCCCTCAGTTTTGCTTTTTATCTTGCTTTGATGATTTATGAGAATTGAACATCGGTAAACTACTGTTGCCTCTATTTTACCCATTAAATGTGTTGTGGGAAATTATCTTGAAAACTATTTAACTTAGAGAAACTGTAAAAAGCACACATGGTTGGCAGGGTTAGATCTTCAATAAGTCAGCATAACCGAAACTTTAAATTAACTCCTTACTGGAGTGTTTGCCCTTATGTAATTATTTTTATTCTTGTTGCGGTTTAAGACCATCTTTGCTAGATGACTTGCTTATTTGTGTGGTTCAGCTCGCGACTTTTAGACATAATACCACATTTAATTTAATAATATTTCCTGATAATGAAGCTTCACAAATACCCCACACATTTTTTTTTCTTTTTTATGCATGAAATAAAATAGTCTGGAATTAAAATTATAAAAATAGGTATCATTAAGCTAATATTCTTATTGCAGAAATAAAAGATGTAGTGAACGCCGTAGTATTCTTACTGAGTGACCAGAGTTGCATGATAAGTGGCGAATGTCTTCGTGTCGATGGAGGATTAGGAGTATACTGAACCCAGGTTATTCGTCCTGTGTTGACTTAAAAGAACTATGAATAAAGATATAACTTTCAGTTTTACTTATGGTGTTTGTTCTGTATTGAAAGGGAGTGATTATTGTTCGAAAAAAAATTGCCTTGAATCTAAGGGTAAAAGATGTGTAACTGAGAAAGTCAAAAATTAATTCAATTTTAATGTTGTGTTAAGCGGTAAAGTTAAATGAGAATTTGTTAAATCGAATTTGAGTTTTCGTACGAAGTGTTGACGGACGGACTCCTATAGCCATGTTTCCCCATGCCAATTTTCCCGGGAGGGGGGGGGCCGGATCGATCTTATTTTCCCCCGGAAAAATTGGCATGATCCCACATTCACCCCTCAGCGTGCTGGGGAGGTGAAGTCAGTTGGAAAATAGTTATCCATGATCACATCCATTCTCCTCTGTGAACCCTTGGTATGTGTTACGCGACTTTCTGTGAAAAAATGAGATGTGGTATGATTGCCAATGAGACAACTATCCACCAGAGTAAAAATAAAGTGGTGGTGAGCAATTTTAGGCAACCGTAAGGCCTTCAACAACGAGAAAAACCCATACTGCATAGTCGGCTATAAAAGGCCCCCGCAAACCTCTCTATTGTTGATCAAATTTGATGACATCTTAGAAATATATTAAGGTCTACTTGTTTAACTGTGTTTGCTTTTGAATTAATCATGACACTCATTGTCCTTTTTTTTTAATCTTTGATTGATTCTTTCAGTATTTGTTGGAATAGTTCTGTATGCATTCAAGCTCCACATTCATAAATGGTATACAGCAAAAATCTCAGCACCCTTTAGTGTAAAGTCTCCTGTAGACTTATAGGTCCATAATTCTGTTTCATTCAAGTGCAAAGTCCTTTCAAGATTTTTGCACCAATACATAATGTAATTTCGATGTAACATGTACTGTCGGAAGCAATGATGAAATTATATGAACATCTTGTGTTCTTCTGCTATCCCTTTCATTTATAAAGTTCCAGAGATATGAATCAATTGTTTTGACAGGTTTGCTTATAATTGGTATTAAAGATCAATCATATCTTAAGAAAATTCGGAAAATATATGCAATAAGGAAATTCATACTGTGGGGGAAATATGGGCATGGGGTAAAAGTGGCTATATGTATACGTATTGTCAACGTTCCGCGGGGGAAGAATGGCAATGATCCAAAATTTCCCCGGGGAGAAAACAAGATCAATGGGGAACAAGAGGCTGTCAGAGTGACAGCAAACCGGATTTTTCCTGCAGAGGTCGAACCCTGAACAGTTGAGCAAGTATGGACACAACATGTAAGCTTAAAACAGCTCTGAATTTGGATTGTAATTGAATATTTGACACAGCATAGGTTTGTGACACAAACTGAATGTGGTCAAAGAACTGAAAAATTTGAAATATTATTATGGTCCAATATCCAAAATCTAAGTACATTGTTAGAATCAGCATATCAAAGAACCCCAAGAATTCAATTTTTGATGAAATCAAACAAAAGTTTAATTTAGGACCTTTTGGACCTCAATGTGGACTAATTTGATAAAGGAGCCCAAAATCCAAATCTCTAAATACATGGTTAGATTCAGCATTTCAAAGAACCCCTTAAATTCTTTTTTTTGTTGAAATCAAACAAAGTTGAATTTTGGACCCTGAGTTGGACCAACTTGAAAACTAGGCCCAAAAATCCAAAATTTAAATACAGGTTTTGATTCAGCATTTGAAAGAACCCTATATATATTCAATTAATAATGAAATGAAAAACAGTTTAATTTTGGACCCCGATTTGGACCAACTTGAAAACTGGGCCCAAAATCAAAAATAAATCTGTCACTCCAATTATAATTTTGTTAGTTGATAATTACCACGTTTGTTATCTTGATAAAAGGTGGAAATTATTGCATGAATAAATTAATAGTAAATACATTGTCCTAATCCAAATACATGTACAAATGTGTATATTTAGTTAATTGTAAAAATCTATTATACAAAGTGTGTGTAGTTTTATAGGAAGAATAAAAATAGATTATTATCTAATGAAAATGATATTTGCAAATCTGGATCCCCAAACAGAATCAAGTAAAAAATATTTACAAATCTGGACCCCCAAACAGGATCAAGTAAAAATTAAACATTAACACACTCAACAAAAAGATATACCACATAACAACTGTGACATCTATCTACCTTCCAAACACACAACTTTAAAAAAAAAAGTTATGAAGAAATTTTTGACAACTCCTGACTAAAATCAATTGAACAGATACAATCATTGATAGACTATCTATCCATATAAAATTGAGAATGGAAATGGGGAATGTGTCAAAGAGACAACAACCCGACCATAGAACAGACAACAGCAGAAGGTCACCAACAGGTCTTCAATGCAGCGAGAAATTCCCGCACCCGGAGGCGTCCTTCAGCTGGCCCCTAAACAAATATATATACTAGTTCAGTGATAATGAACGCCATACTAAACTCCAAATTGTACACAAGAAACTAAAATTAAAAATAATACAAGACTAACAAAGGCTAGAGGCTCCTGACTTGGGACAGGCGCAAAAATGCGGCGGGGTTAAACATGTTTATGAGATCTCAACCCTCCCCCTATACCTCTAGCCAATGTAGAAAAGTAAACGCATAACAATACGCACATTAAAATTCAGTTCAAGAGAAGTCCGAGTCTGATGTCAGAAGATATACTTATTAATTACACCATTTTTGTTCAAAGAAATAACTCAAAATAATCAAAGCGCGAAAGCGCTGTAAAGGCAGTTAATTACAGGTTGTGTGTATTTTTAGTCCAGTTATATCATTATCTTGCATAGTACATTGTACTTATCAGAGGTGGCTTTCAGTATTTAAGATTTAGAGTTCTCTAATGATATTGAACAAGTTTTATGAATGTCATATTCTGAGCACTATATGAAGGCGATTGTTCTCACTTGTTTATGAACTAGAGCATTATGTCCAGTTTGTACCTTTTTTATCTATGTTTATAGTCAAATACTGTTTAAAATAGTTTGGCATTTTCTTTTAAGTAATAAGTAAATGTTATCAACTGTATTTTATTCAACTTTGCAAATGTGGTTTGTTACTGGTAAGTACAATGTATGGATGATAGTTGTTTCATTGGCAATCATAACACATCTCCTTATTTATATAATGATCTATATTCAACGACCTCAGGTACAAAAAAAATGTATGTAACTAAACTATGATGGGAAACCTTTGACTTCTTTCTTTAATATAAACTTTTGATTTGGTACCATAGAACTATGTAGAATAAATGTACATTGCAACATGTCAACTCTTTCAATGACAATACTTTTTTTAGAAACTATAACTCCAAGCAAAATTATATTTCCAAGTATAAAGTAATTTATGAATGAAACAAGAGTGCACAAGCTGAAATGTCTCGCCTTCTTTACTAATCATTGATATTATGTTGATAGTCCTAAATATAAAGCTTTAATACAACTGTCACATAAACTTAACATTAACCAAGTAAACTAAACATTGACCAATGAACCAAGAAAATGAGGTCAAGGTCAGATGAACCATGCTAGGCAGACATGTACAGCTAACAATTCTTCCAAACAACAAATATAGTTGACCTATTGCTTATAGTTTAAGAAAAACAGACCAAAACACAAAAACTTTAAACTGAGCAATGAACCTTGAAAATGAGGTCAAGGTAAAAAAAAACCTGCGTGACTGACATATAGATCATAAAATATTTCCATACACCAAATATAGTAGACCTATTGCATACAGTATAAGTAAACAGACCAAAACACAAAAACTTAACTATAACCACTGAACCATGAAAATGAGGTCAAGATCAGATGACACCTGCCAGTTGGACATGTACACCTTACAGTCCTTCCATACACCGAATATACTAGACCTATTGCTTATAGTATCTGAGATATGGACTTGACCACCAAAACTTAACCTTGTTCACTGATCCATGAAATGAGGTCGAGGTCAAGTGAAAACTGTCTGACGGGCATGAGGACCTTGCAAGGTATGCACACTTTTTTTTCAAGTAGTCACTGAACCATGAAAATGAGGTCAAGGACATTGGACATGTGACTGACGGAAACTTCGTAACATGAGGCATCCATATACAAAGTATGAAGCATCCAGACCTTCCACCTTCTAAAATATAAAGCTTTTAAGAAGTTAGCTAACGCCGCCGCCGGATCACTATCCCTATGTCGAGCTTTCTGCGACAAAAGTCGCAGGCTCGACAAAAAGGAGTTCTTAATTAAGTAATAAACTGATTCGCTGAGCGCAGCTGGATACACCCACAGAGGTCCAACCCTGAACAGTTGGGGCAAAAATGGACACAATATTCAAGCTTGATACAGGTCTGAATTTGGATTGTAATTAAATATTTGACATATTATAGTTTCTGAATAAATGTAGTCAAAGAACTTGAAATCGGTTATATGAATTGAATTTATATTCAATTAAAGATTTCTTGCTGTTGTGCAATACACTGTGCTGTTGCGCAATACTTAATAAATCTGTTGCCAGACTATAAACAAATAAAGTTCAATTTCTTCTCAATGTCATATTTGAAATTTATGAAAATCAATAGGGAGATTACATCAATAGCTATAAATAATTCACCAAAGTTTCATGCGAACTGCTTAAAGCATTTTTGAGTTGTTGTCCAAAAACTGGAAAATCCCCCCCTTTTTAATGAATAAAACCCCATAACTCAGGAATGTAAAATCTAAAATTTATAAAATTCTAAAGGGAGCTTACGGATTGATAATTTAGTCTTAGATGCAAGATTTTTTTATCAGTTGTTTGTGGCTTTGAACTAGCTGTCAGTAAATGCGAGTACTCTCAGATCTGTACTTAGTGTCTTTTTGTTGTTTGGATGTACAACTACCCGTCCACTTGTATTTGTATTTATCCATCTGATGAGTTAAGCCTCTTTCAACTGATTTTTATAGTTCGCTCTTATATTGTACTGTTACACCACTGTCCCAGGTTAGGGGGTGGGTTGGGATCCCGTGAACATGTTTAACCCCGCCAC